GCGTGGTTTTGGTAGACAAAGTGGTACCCCCCCCCACCCCCCCCCCCTTCCCAATCCTCGTTTTTACATGAATCTGTCTTTACCTCAGATTAAACTGTCTGGAGTCTTCGATGCCGGACTTTGTTTTCTCATTTTTTGTGTGTTGTTGTTTTTTTTCCAGCCAAAAGTCACCAACGTGCTGCTGGTCAACCTGGCCGTGGCAGACCTGATCTTCTGCGTCACGCGTGTCTTCTCCCTCATTAAGAAGTTTCTGGAGCACTGGCCCTTCGGGGTCTTTGTCTGCAAATTCAACGGCTTCTTCAAATACGCCAACATGTTCTGCTCCGTCTTCCTCCTGGCCGTGATCAGCCTGGACCGAGTCCTCTGTGTGTGGAGGCCTGTTTTCACCAAGAAACGGCGCACCCTGCTGGCCGCCAGGGTAGTGGCTGCCTGCGTGTGGGCGGCCGCCATCGCTCTCAGCGTCCCTTATTTTTTTTACCGCAAAGTCTACCTGACGGACCGGAACGTGACCAAGTGTTCCCTGGAGGTGAAGCAGGCCACGTTTGGTGACGAGGAGGTCAAACTGGCTCTGTACGCCGTCAGGTTCACCTGCGGGTTCCTGCTGCCCTTCGTCGTCATCCTCCTCTGTTACGTCCTCGCCGGTCTCGGCATCCGACGCACGCGGCTGGCCAGGAAGTCCCGCCCTCTCCGCATTCTGGCGGTGCTGGTGGTGGCGTTCTTTGTGTGCTGGGCGCCGTACCACTGCCTCCTCCTGGTGAAGAGGGTGGACAGCAAGAGCAGGGTGGTGAAGGTGTGGTCTCCGGTGGCGACCAGCGTGGCCTACTTCAACAGCTGCGTCAACCCGCTGCTGTACTTCTGCATGGGCCTGGACGTGAGGGGACGCTTCAGGCAGAGTCTGCTGGCCGTGTACAAGAAGGCTCTGGAGGAGGACGTGGACGGACAGACGACGCAGTCGAATGAGCGCTCGCTGGATGAAAGCGGTGGCTCCAAACAAACGACCTCGGCCGCTCCGGGACGGAGTCAAACGTGGGAGGTCGTGGCTCATGTTTGAGTTTCTCCACCGACTTTTTCCCCAAACTCGCTTCATTTTACTGTGAGATGAATGTTTAACGTCAAATGAAGACGTCGTTGGATCAGATCTTTAACGTCTGATCTCCTTCGTGTCTGTCCAGGTGTTTCACTGGTGTCTCAGCAGGAGACCATGTGACCTCCGTCCACCTCGGGGCCGTGTTTGTTTCCTCCTCTGTTAAAGTTGTGTTTTCTGGCTGTCTCTGCAGGTGTGTGACTATAAAAACGTAAAACTCCGTCTCTGGGTTTTTTATTTTTAAACGCTGTTCTGACAAAGTAGAAAAGTGGAAGTAGAGAAGGAAAAACAAGAAGGACCGCAGACGAGGAGCCGTCTGAGCGCTGAAACAGAGACCACGCTGGAGGAAGTTGACTACAGGAGGTGGCCCGCGGGCCAGATTCTGGTCTCTGAGCAAAACTGACTTTTATTTTTATTTTTTTAATCTTTCACTTACACATTGATTCATTTATTTTCTGTGAGTTACGTGAAATGATCAAACAGTTACAAGAACAACAGGAAGTGGCTGCTCTGTCCAACAAATATATAAACAAATACATTTATAAACTATGACGCAATTCCCAACTACGTTGTCCTTCTGCTTCGTGAACTCTTACCAGAAACCTAAACTCTTTCTGTAAATGTCGTAATACTGTACGAGTACACTGTGTCGTTCATTAAAACACCACAAGATGGCGACAAAACCACGTGGTCTGGAGAGGAGGGAGTTTCACAGTGTTGGGGAGACCGACTCTTTTTTTACTGATTCTGACCTTTGACTCTCGAACAGCAAAATGAAACGAATCATTTCATTCATTTTACAGCAGGTGGCGCTGTAGCCCTAAAGAAGGCTGCGGTCCTCCGACACTACAACCTGAAGGAGACACGGTTTGTTTACGCTGAAAGTCTAATAAACAAAAGACCATAAGACACTTCGTCCTCCGTGTCATCCATGTCCAACAGCGTGACCGTGACGAGCTGTCACAGATGACCAATCCTGGGAGAGGAGAGGTGAACGTGAAACTCACGAAATAAAGTTAAATAAACCAAACCACCGTCAGTGAGGGACTCGTCTGATATGAACACGTTTATATATATATATTCTATAACATTAAAGGCACATGATGATGTTTTTACAGAGACCTGTCGAGTGACACATGCTAAGCTATGCTAACGCGCACAGCTTGTAACGGCAGGGTGGAGTTTGGTGTTTGCCCCAGAAAAGTTTCCAGTGAAACATCGCTTCGCTTCAACAGATCATAATGAGCACCTACGAAATGAGGACAGGCTAAAGTACGCACGCTAACGCCCAGTCTGAGTTTCCTGATGCCGCGGTTAATATTCACGCTTTAATTACAGGCCTGCAGAATGTAAATAACACGGGGATATTGAAACTAAAGCTCGGGGAATGTGACAGAACCAGCGCTGACGGTGAAACCAGGTGACGAGTCACGCTGCCGTGACAGGCGTTTATTTACCGACTTCTGAAAAACCAAAATCTGGGTTTGTCTGGTTTGTTTTTAGGTGTCATTGTGACACACCACTGCACCACAGCCAGCAGGGGGCAGTGATAAGCACCCGGGGAGCAGTGTGTGGGTTCAGAGCACCTCAGTGGTAACTTGGCTCCGGGCTAGGTCAGAACGTCAGGTGGGTTCGTGACCCCAATTCCTCAAACAGCACCCCTCAGTGGTTTGTTGACAGAACACGTCTGTTCTGGGATTAAACTGACAGGTGTGTGACCTACATCTGTGGAGCAGTGGGCCTACGGCGAGGACCCAACATTCTAGAGCCGCTCTTAAAGGTTGACAACAGGTGGTAGAGGTCCTTAAAACTTATTTCATGTGTTTGTGTTTGTGTTTGTGTGTGTGAGAAATTTGCATTTTCTGTTATGTCAAATGTCGAGTCACGTCAGTCTCTGTGGAGACAACGCCCCAAAACAGGCGTGTCCTGGTAATTAAGTTCAGCGACTGTCATTAAGAAATAGTTGTGAGGGGAACAGCTCCGCGCTCGCACGCTCCGATCTCTGTGGCCGTGTCAGGGTCGGTCGTACGTCAGGGTGGGTCGTATGTCAGGGTCGGTCGTACGTCAGGGTCGGTCGTATGTCAGGGTGGGTCGTATGTCAGGGTCAGTCGTATGTCAGGGTGGGTCGTATGTCAGGG